CGGAATAAATCATCTACCGTATCAGGATGATCCCGCGGCCCATTTTCCAAAGTCAGAACGGTAAAGGTTCCATGTGCTAGTGTCTTTAATGAACAAAAGATATCAAATAAATTCTATACGCACATGATGAAATCTAAAACTTGACTTACTTCAAGCATGATCATCAAGCCAGGCTGTAGAGATTCCATTCCTCCATACTCATCCACTAATATAGATGACAGATACAGGAAACATGAATGTTGTTGTCGCGAAAAGATGTCCATCATCTGAGAAATTGAATAGATACAGCAGAAAATTCAAAGAAATGAAAAGATTTTCGAAGGTTCTTGCAATAACTACTACTTAAAAAACCCCACAGACGCCCCTTCGTATTCAACCTTCAACTCTAAAAGATCACACTCATTTAGCGCCAATAATCTCACAAATGCTCAATCCAATTTCAAAAATGCTCGAAAGAGCAGATTCTAAATTTTTCCTCTCTATCGCTCGGAACACTGAAGTGACACTAGAAAGAAAAAGAGCTAATCCAATGCATGCAAATGAGATTTGATAGATTTACCCGCATTTAGTGTAATTGCGCCCTAAAATCAGAACTTAAAAAACGGGAATAACATAGAATCCTATAAAATCCACTCATTTTGTTAGGATTTTCAGGCTTTCAGGAGCTAGTTCCCCTTATTGAGGCAAAATCCACTCTACTACATGTAAAGCAGTACCTGTGTGATTAACGGTTCCACAAAACCGATAGATTGAACACCAAGTGACCGGACAATGAACCTGAAAAGAACGCAATCACAGAAAGCATAAGCCTCTAAAAAAATTTCTCACCTAATCGATCGGCAACAATGCTCCACAACTCTCGCAGTAGTCTCATACCGTTTCAATGCTTCAGAAAGCACTTTGTAGAGTTCTGTAGCAATATCCAGCCAAGGAGCTGCATCAGGAGAGTCAGAGCTGTTGACCGTTCGCTGCAACCAGAACACTTGGCTTGCAAACAAAACTGATAGTTTGTAAGCTGATTATAAATTTTGTACGTTGTGCATAGTATAAACCACGCACGCTCACCAAGACCCCTCCATTCCAAGGCCGGACTTCTCGGAATATGGTTGCGATGCGATCAATCCACAGTATGGGTTCACTAGCGATTCGTGCCCAAGAATCTGCTGATTTTTCATTTTCGTTGTTTGCGACTACTACAGGTGTAGCAGTAAGGACCTGAAAGCACTGTTCTGGAGGTAAGAAAAACTAGATCGTGAAAGCTAGATTTCCAGAATACCATTTGCAGCCGCTCAATGATTGGCTGACACAATTCTACAAGACGATGTCGAATGTCGTCGGCAGGTAAGTTCATTATGAGCATCGTACAAGCTGAAATGAACAAGTAATGAGTAACACTGGAATTAGCTAAGTGAAATTATGAGGAAGAAATAGTTGCGTACCTTTTAAGCAGCTAGAAATTGCGGTTTCCATCTTCTTTCCATGACTTTGGGACGACTCGAGATGAGGTATAAGTTGGACTAATAGGGGGATTAGATGTGTCAATTCTGCTGACGATCTTACAGCAATCTAAAGGTTTGTGAGCTTAGATAGTAAAGATTAGTAAAAGAAAAGAAAAATCTCAATTGAGAGCTTTTTACAATCACACATTGTAGATCTATGCTCAACAAGACAGTATCCTGTGGCCTACTTTATTCGTAATTTACAATATTTAATTGGACGCTTTCTACTATGGATTACTGCATTAAAGTAGCTGTACGTGCTGACGTTATCAAAGTTTGTATTTCCTATGATCGGGACATTGGTAGCACCAAAAAACTACTAGCTGTTTAGTTTCTAAAATGCTTAGTACAAATGAACAACCAAAATTACCTTGGTAGAAACTGCAATCTTTTTATGTAGAACACTTGACACCTTCTCCAAAACAAAAAGAGCATTTTCTGTTGGGTAGTTCTTGAAGATTTGACTATATAAAGACCTCGAATTTGAAATTTTCGTTCCAGATTGGCAAGATTTCTAATAGAGCACTCAACTTTCCAAGCTCTTGTGTATATCATACATCTTCTGATCTGAATATTCTCCTGCAAATCT